AAGTGGATATCCAGAATTGTAACAACTATAGGGGTATCAAGTTACTAAGTCATACCATGAAAGTCTGGGAGAGGGTGGTGGAAGGGAGGATAAGGAGGGCGGTGTCTATATCGGAAAACCAGTTCGGGTTCATGCCGGGTCGTTCTACTACGGAAGCTATCCACCTCATCGGAGGTTGGTGGAACTATACAGGGATAGGAAGAGGGATTTGCATACGGTGTTTATTGACCTAGAGAAGGCATATGACAAGGTCCCTAGGGACGTCCTTTGGAGGTGTCTGGAGGTGAAAGGTGGGCTGGTGGCTTACATTAGGGCGATAAAGGATATGTATGATGGAGCTATGACTCGGGTTAGGACTGTGGGAGGTGACTCAGAGCCTTTTCCGGTGGTTATGGGATTACACCAAGGATCTGCGCTCAGCCTGTTCTTATTTGCTCTGGCGATGGACGCACTGTCACACCATATCCAAGGAGAAGTGTCATGGTGTATGTTGTTCGATGATGATATAGTTCTGATTGATGAGACGCGAGGCGACATTAATGAGAGACTGGAGGTATGGAGCNACATTTGGTTACTTTCCGGAGTATGGTGGCTAAGACTCAAATTGACTATCTCCTCCTCAGGAGGTGTGATAGGGGGTTGTGTGAGGATTGCAAGGTGATCACGAGTGAGAACCTCGCAACTCAACATAGGCTCTTAGTGATGGACGTCGGTATTTTGATGAAGAGGAAGAAGAGGTTTGTACGGGGTCCGTCGAGGATCAGGTGGGGAGCTTTGTCTAAGGATAATGCGCAAGAGTTGGAGGGGCGGCTGACAAATATGGGATCCTGGAAGAGTGGTGGGGACGCTAGCGCTATGTGGACGACGACGGTGGACTGTATAAGGGAGGCAGCAAGAGAGGTGTTGGGAGTTTCGAAAGGTTATTANCTCTAGAGTCTAAAGGTTTCAAGTTGAGTAGGACTAAGACAGAATATGTGGAATGTAAGTTCAGTGACGTGACGGGGGAAGCAGATGTGGAAGTCAGGCTTGACTCACAGGTCATCCTCAAGAGTGAAAGTTTTAAGTACTTGGGGTCAATTATCCAGGGAGATGGGGAGATCGACGGGGATGTTACGCACCGTATTGGAGTGGGGTAGATGAAATGGAGGTTAGCGTCTGGAGTCCTGTGTGACAAGAATGTGCCACTGAAACTCAAAGGTAAGTTCTATAAAGTGGTGGTTAGACCGGTCATGTTGTATGGAGCTGAGTGTTGGCCAGTTAAGAATTCACATATCCAGAAGATGAAAGTAACAGAAATGAGGATGTTGAAATGGATGTGTGGGCACACTAGGCTGGATAAGATTCGGAATGAAGATATTTGGGAGAGGGTGGGCGTGGCTCCCGTGGACGACAAGATGCGGGAAGCGTGGGNGGCACCGAGGCGACTGGTGGTGGAATGACGTGGTCCAAGGTAAAGTGGAAGCCAAGAAAGCGGCGTACATTAAGTTAGTAGAGAGCACTGACGAGGATCAGAGGAGAGCGAACAGAGAAAGATATAAGGAGGCTAGGAATGAGGAGAAAGTAGCGGTCACAGAGGCTAAGACTGCTGCTTTTGGTCGGCTTTATGAGGAACTTGGGGGCAAAGGTGGGGATAAGAAGTTATTTCGATTGGCCAAAGCGAGAGAGAAGAAGGCTCGCGATCTAGATCAAGTGAGGTGCATCAAAGACGAGGACGGTCGAGTATTGATGGAAGAGGCCCAGATTAGGCAAAGATGACAGTCGTACTTTCATAAACTTTTGTATGAAGAGGGGGATGAAAACATCGTGTTAGGGCAATTGGGGCACTCCGAGTCACCGAGACTTTAGGTAGTGTATGCGCATTAAGGTTGAGGAGGTCGTGGGTACGATGGGTAAGATGAGTCGGGGCAAAGCGACCGGACTTGACGAGATTCCAGTAGAGTTTTGGAGATATACGGGTAGGGCAGGCTTGGAGTGGCTGACTGGTTGTTTAATGTTATCTTCAGGACAAAGAGGATGCCTGATGAGTGGTAGTGGAGTACAATGGTTCCGGTGTACAAAAACAAAGTGGATATCCAGAATTGTAACAACTATAGGGGTATCAAGTTACTAAGTCATACCATGAAAGTCNGCAGGTACGAGAAGAGGTAGAGGGCGGCTTAAGAAGTATTGGGGCGAGGTGATCAGGCAGGACATGACGCGACTTCAGATTTCCGAGGACATGGCTCTTGATAGGAACATGTGGAGGTCGAGCATTAGGGTGGTAGGCTAGGGGGTAGTCGAGAGTTCTTCCCTCTTTGTACCGGGTAGTCTGATAGAGTTTCGTTTAGGTTTGTTAGCGGTCTTTGTTGTATTCACATTGTTGTTTTGCATAGTTTTGTGGTATTGTCCTTTCACTTATTTGTTGTGGTTATTTTCTTTCTGGTATCTTTTGTTGTTACATGTCTTTTCTCTTGTTTCTTTTCTGATATTATTGCCTCTCCTGTTGAGCCGAGAGTCTCCTGGAAACAACCTCTCTGCCCTTTTCGGGGTAGGGGTAAGGTCTGCGTACACTCTACTCTCCCCAGACCCCACTAGTCGGATTTTACTGGGTATGTTGTTGTTTTTTGTTTTTCTTATAAGGTCTAGTAGACTGATTTACTTAGCATTCTTGGCTGATTGTGTTTGGTGCTCTGGATTTGAGCAGTGACCAAAAGTGTGATAGTCTTAATTAGCAGTTACATTGTAGTGATACCTGACTGTACCGTCAGTGTTACATTATCTTATGGCTTCAGTATATTTATTTTTAACGATGCCTCGTTATTCCTCTTTTCAGCACGATGCATGTAATCAGAGTATCTTAATACTGAACTGGTGTAAATAACAAGCTCAAATCTTATCCTGAGTTGGAGGATTCACCTAATCCTCTAGAAAGAAAAAATAAAAGTAGCATTAGGGAGAGGCTGAGGGGGACAGAAAGAGAAATGAAAAAATAATTCGTTCTGACAATGGAATTGCAGTTGGAAGATGGAAATTTTTTCTTTTGCACAGGGTAATGGAGATGGAATCAGCTATTCTTGCTGGAAAACTGGTGACGTTGTTGCTGGACAAGGAAAAACACTTATCTATCTGGAAAAAGAAGAGGTCAGAACAAAAGTTTCTCTCTTTTCCTCTTTCTCTAGTTATATATCTCTTAGTATTGAGCAAACAAATTTAGTTCCAAGGGCTTCTTACTTTGTCCAGGGCCTTGTCTTTAAATGTAGCGTCTTTCTCTCATTATCACTCTGTACTTGTCCAGATACAGTTGACCTTCTACTTTGATTGAATATTGCTAAACTGTGCGGAATCTGGACTTGTTAGACCACTATTCTTGCTTGTTAATCATCAACTCAGTGCATTTTCCGAGTTAGGATATTTCCGTGAGAAGTCCCTGCTCATATAGATTCTTGGAAGACTTATCATGGCCCATAATATCTTATTAACCTGTCTTCAAGGAGCTATAGTGTAACTAAAAAAAATGTTAATTGGGTATTTAGAAGAAATTTGATTCTACATTTCTTTTTTTTTCCTTATATAACAAATGAAATCTAGAATTCCATTTGTTCTATTTCTGGACTTTAAGGTCTAAATTAGTGGTTAACATATCCCAGTGGCTGCTAAATATTTTATTGTTAAGATACAATGTGAAATTCTTAACAATATTGCGGTTATGCATGAGCTAAATGATAGGAAGGAAGTGAAAAGAAGTCAACTTCGCCAATAACTTTGTCGATTGCAGCTTAGAGATATGGGAAAATTGTATGAGAAAAGATGCTTTATCCTACTTAACGTCAGAATAATATGACATAAAGTCTCCATTGATCAGTGAAGCTATTACAACACATAACATTTGGCAGCTTATATAATATAAAAAAATGATCTGCAACTATTTTAACCCAGTAATGATCCTAAGAAAGTATTCTGGTTATTAGAAGTTTCTGCCATAGATGTTTTACCCAAGGGTATGGCCTAGCGGTAATGATGTTGGTGAAAATCGTAGAAACCAGGGTTCAAATCCTAGCAGAGGAAAAAAACCTAGGTGATTTCTTTCCATTTGCCTAAATCTTGGTGGGCAAAGTTACTCGGTACTTGTGCTGGGAGGAGGTAGCAGGTAACTGGTTGAATAATTGAGGTTGTGCAAGCCGGGCCGTATACCGTCATTATCCAAATAAAAGATGTTTCTTCCATGTGCATTAAGATCATGTGGATGTGCTATATGGATTATCTAAGATTACCCAATGACGGTCTACAATATCTTATGCTCCAGTTTTCGAGGGGCTATGCTGTAACTACTAAAAAAATATACCTGGATATGTAGAAGAAGTTTAGATTTCCATCCCAATGCTATATGTTTTGCTAAATCCTTGTGTTACTAATATTAGATCTAGTGAAGAAAAAGTGAAAATATATGTTTAAATCTTATTTTTGGCAAAACGGTTCCAGGTGATCCAAATTAAATTTTCTCATTGAGAAAAATTATACATAAATGCAGCAATCTTGTACTGAACGAAGCTAGACTAACATTGGATACAGATAAAGTTTGATCCTACTAATTTCGAACTTACTTTAGTATTGAATTTACCATTTCCTATGAGAAACAAAAGAAGCATTGAATACCCTTTGTTCTTCATGAGATACAACAAATGAGCCAACAGATAAGCTGAGCTGATAACCAATAGGATCAGCCATAGACAAAATTATACATCTTTAGTAAAGCTACTTAGTCACTAAAGTGAGTTTGGTTTAAAATAAATCCATCATTGACGCCTCAATCCCGAATTGGTCGGAACCAGCTTTATGTATCTCCTGTGCCATTTGGCTCTATTTGCCTTGATGGAGTATAGCTTCAGAGGACTCGTTATGACTATTGTTAGCCGTCAACCCGCTGTCACCCTCCTCTTTTATCCGGCTTGGGATTGACTAGAATAGGGTGAGAAAATAAGTACCTGCCTGAGAGTAGGAAAAGAGGCTTAACTTTTGCAAAGATGTTATACTTTAATGAAGCTTTTGTTATCTCACGCAAGACTGACAAAAAACAGATAAAAGCAAACCAAGTCTCACAAATCACAATAGCTAGCTAGATGGAAAACAAAAAGAAAAAAGAAATCTCCGAGAAGAAGTTGTAGAACCACTGGAATAACCTACTAGGATCCAAGCTGCAATAAAAGAAAATGAATGAGGGTTAATTGACAAACTTTAGATACTCTACATAGAAGTTCACTAATCCTTTCTCCGGACAAAACTTTGCTTCCAGTTTCAACTAGGTAGCATGGACTTGGAGGTAAGTATGCATCTGGCATGAACTCGACATGCCTACCTGACATATCAGACATATGTAGATTTCACTTATCCCATCAAAGGCTTGTATTAATGGAAAAATGTGAGGCTCATGAGCTACCAAATTATGGCAAACAAATTCTTAACCCAAATTTTTTTTGATAACCGAGAAATCTCCTAGGGTCAATGGCGCACTGTTCAAAGTTTGGTGGATAATAGGCCCGCACCTCTACCCTTCTTCATTTGAATATTAGGCTTTTGTTTGTGGCAGGATCTAAAACCATGACGTATTGACGTGTGCCTAACCCATACATCGCTCTTTACCCTCTTACCACTAGACAAAGCCCTGGGGGAAATCCTTTTATCTAGATCTTGAAGCTTGATCATTCTTGAAGATCTTCCAATGTGCGTAGCTTGTTGAATCAGTTTCAATCTCAAGAATTTTTCGTTTTATATCTAGTTATCATTTTTCCTCTAACCAATCTAGAAACAGAAATGAGCTTGTGATTTCTCATTTGGAGGGTGGAGGAAGCAATTGGAAATAGAAGCATGTTGACATTTCCGGTCAGTGTTTTTGTTCTTAGAGTGAGAAAGACTGAGTCAGTTACGCACTCGAAACCTCTAGTTTTTTTGGTTCTCTATCCAAGTATTAGGTTCAAAACAATACAAGTACTTCCAGATCTTATCTTATTCTTTTAAGGTACTCTGTCTGTCTTTTACCTCATGGATGCAAACAAGTTCTTATCCAACACACTCACTTTACTGCGAAAGTGCAGGACACAATGTAGCAAGAACTTGGATGATCTATAGTGATGTATATAGCTCTAGCGAGCAAGAAAACATATATGCATAAGAACCAATAGCTTTGTGCAGCTTAATAACTTGCTTCTTGCTTTATAGAGATTTCTCATCAAATGGGCATTTTCAATAAAGCTTGCACTAGGTTGTCACCCTTTTTGGCTTAGTCTTAGCGTATCTTGATGGTATTGGGTTGATTCTTGAATCTAGTCGAAAATATACAGGTGAATGTAGAGAACAACAGTTGAGACGAAGTACTTATCATCCACAAACCGAAAGGGATTAGGGAAAAAAGCCCGAGAAAACGTCCTTGGAAGGAGTAATATCTGAACAAGTGTTAGTGGAACCCATCAATCTCGTTATTAAAGAGACATAAGCAAGAATACACGACAGATGGAAAGCGGAGAACATCATTTTCGTATTTTCTCTCCACTGAGGAAAAGAAGCATTGCCCAAGCCAACAATAACGCAAACTTGCATGAGGTAAGACTCTCTTCCTTTTTATTTCGGGGAAACGGATGATTTTATTAGTTATATATATGTGAATTATTCCAACTAAAAAGAATGGGAGGCAATAACCATGAATATTTAAATGTATGCATCATTATCTATTAACAATGACATATGGATCATGTTTCTTTGAAACTTAATATTAGCCCGTTTGGTCAAGTTGCAAAATCAACTTACTTTGAGAAGTGCATTTTCTCAAAATTGTTTTTCTCCAAAGTACTTTTGGTGAGAAGTAGTTTGTGTTTGGCTAATTAATTTGAAAAGTACTTGTGAGCAACAATTAGTGTTTGGCCAAGCTTTTAAAAACTGCTTCTAAGTGTATTTTTCTCAAAAGTGCTTTTCAAGAAAGTACTTTTGGAGAGAAGCTACTTTTTTCTGCTTCTCCAAAACTGCTTCTGCTTATCCTAAAACACACTTTTTTTCTTCCAAAAGCTTGGCCAAATACTTCAACTTTGAAAAAAAGCACTTTTTTGAAAAAAAGTGCTTCTAGGATTGGAGAAGCTTGGCCAAACAGGCTATTAACCTCCTCATCCAAGCCCGCTTGCGCATAAGCGCTAACGATGTTTAGGGTGCACTCTCCAACCACTAACTTAATAGAAATTAATCTATATTCACCCGCCTAACCTCTACCACAGACTCTCTAAGTTCCCTATCAACCAAGATACCCACTCCATTCTTGCCCTTCATGACTCCGGAATACCACAACTTTGACTCCTGCTCACCCTGTCTACATTTTCTTTGAACCTTAATAAGTGAGGTGAGTTTGACACAAGTCTGATGAGGGTCAAACGAGTGATTGTGTCAATATCCAACAAGAACACGACCACTTTAGAAGTGTCCATTCCATTCAAGAACGGACAATCATGGCCGTGATAACATCTCTAAGTTTCTACTTTAATCATTCATGTTAATCTTCCCCTTCTGAAAAGGAAAACATCTTTACCTTCTGTCATATAGGTAAGTTCCAGGTTTGCGGAACTGCTCTTTGCTTGCAAGTAATTGTTTCATGACAACAAGCTTGTTTAACGCTTCCAAATTCTTGAGCATACCATCTTTATTACATGAAGTGTTAACTTTCCATTTTGGGCATTCAAGTCGATAAAGTGATTTAATTTTAATTTGAATAGAATGAGAAAAACACATGTTACACTACTTGATCGATTAGTGTTTGGCTTTGTGTCTAATGCTCTCTTCGTTGACTGGGAAGGTGAGGAAGTATCGTGCCTGAATTTTATCAAGCTGTCATTACTATTTAATTCAATGGAGAAGTGGTTTACCAGTTTATCCTCAGTATGTACTTTGTAGTTTGCAAAGACTGAACAAAAGGTGATCTATCAAAAATTCTACAGAAAAAGCCTAACTTTCCTTTGAAGGTACTGTTTGCTGTTTTTCTTGAGTAACTACTTGAGCAGAGAGAGACCAACACTACTTTTATTTACTGAGCGTACCCTAAGATGCATAAGGCCAAAACAGTAAAACTAGAATATACCGAGTTATATTAAAAACCAGGAAGATGGATTCAAAACACAAAGAGCCGTACTAGCTTTTCTTCAAAAGGAAAAAAGGGAACAAACAGCATAATGCGCAAGGTACAATATAAGCCAAGCAGCAGTAAATCATTAGTTCGGTAGTTCCCTTACCCTTGTCTTCTGCCCCAAGTAAGCTGGACTGCTTTCTCTCTCGCTTATATTTTAGCAGCAGAGGTACATAATATACACACGTACATTATACGTACAGATTTACATATATATCATTTGCTGGTTACAAAATTCTACAGATATGGTGGATGGTGATAGACATGTTCCGGGTAAACATTCTCTTCCTTTAACATGTTGATAGTTGAATTTGCAATAATGAAAGTTCATTCCTTTTTGTGTTTTACTGCAATTTTTTCCCTTTTCCTGTTGTTAGGACGAATAATTTTGCCGTTGCTTACATTAGCGGAATTGCTCTTTGGATGAATTATTATGGGTTTTTGGGTAAAAGACCGAGAAGTAATGTTCGTCGATTAATCAAAAAGTATTTGGTGCCCCTTTGTTTTGCAGAGGTATGTGCAAAATCTGATTTTGATGGTGTCTTGTGGAAACAAATTGGCAAGATTTTAAAAAAGAGTCGTAGTAATCTTTAAATTTCCATAAAGGAAAAAAAAACTTTGAATTTTGTTTATTAGTTCTTTTTCTGGAATAACATGACTTCTATAAAATTTCTCCTTAAAGATTCTTGCTGGAACTTGTAATGCAATTAGGTTCATGGTGCAAAGGAGGATTACTTCGGTCAACTACCAGATGATGTTTTGATTTCCATTCTCGCACATTTGACAGTAATAGACTCTATGCCTACATTAGAATTCGAACCCCTTGGCAGGTTTGGGATTGACTCTTGGGATCACAGTTGTTGCCCTTACGATCAGCAAAAATCCTTGAAAGAACAGTTATTACAGCTTTATTCGGGTCGTAAAGTGGCTAATGTTGAGATGACCTTTTGCTGTGGTAAAAAGTTTTTTAGGGAATTTGACCAATGGATGCATTCTATTTCAAGATTAGGTGTTGAAAGACTACGTCTTTCATTTGATTGTGGCACTGATCACCCCATCTACAACTCCAATCCCATACGCAACCCCAACAAATTGTTTAAATTTTCTCTTGAGCTTCTCTCTCAGGCATCCTCATTGAAGCACCTGTATTTATACCATTGCATTATCCAACCAAGTTCCGGAGTCCGTCTTAATTCCCTTAGGACCCTTACTTTGAACGGTGTTCTGTTAGCAAGTGGACAGCTTGAGAGTGTTTTTCCTCTTGTTTGAATCTTAACCAGTTAGAGCTAGCATGTAGCAAACTTCCTTGTAAGCTATGCATCTCTGGCACAGTGACATCCGTTTTTTTTCTTAGCTTGTGGCGGATTGGAAGAGATTGATCTTCGGGCTAAAAATCTTCGTCGGTTTGAGTGTTTTTTTTAGCAAAGTAAGATTTTATTCTTTTGTTCCCATGTTGGAAATTGTAATGATTAATTTTAACGAAGTCGATGCAATGCCATACATATTTGGTGATTTTGCAAGAGATTTACCTGCTCAAGTTAAATCTTTAACAGTCAAAGTGGGTTATTCTCAGGTATCTGATGATGTCTTGTCTTCTCAAATTCCTTTGGTCTTTGTCTTTTTGAAGATCCTGATCAATTAAAGCATTCTTTATTTCAGATAAAACACTTCCCAACCGAGAGAAAGATGTTCAGAAACCTTAGGGAGCTAACCTTGGTACTTGTGTTCACGTACGACTTTGACATAGTCAAAATTCCCCCTCTCTTAGGCGCTTGTCCTCTTCTTCGACATTTGGATTTAGTCGTGAGTTATCTATATTCATCCTTTTTTCTTTTCCTTTTTGGATATTCTGGATATTGTTTGCTTGATCTTATATGATGTTGACTTCTGCATTTGTTGAATTTTAAAGTCCACACTCCCCTGCCCCCACATGCATGATTTACTGGTAATTATCCTTGTGTTTATGTGGAACCATGCATTTTCTGTCAAAAACAATTTATACTGGGAAAAGTAGTATTATTACCAATAACCCTCATCTATTGGTGTGCTTAGGTTGTCGCATGAGACAAAACACCCTTCACTACCTAGCTAGTCTGGGAACTAATAAAAATGTTTACCCCAAATAATAATTTGGTCTACTATTAGAGAAATCCTTCATTTTCTGCCGGAGAGATTATGATCCCGTCTGGGTTAGCTAAATTTAAATAGCATTTAAGCATCAAGTGCTGGAAAACACTTTTTAAGTGTTGGAGGTAATTTTGTAATTAAGCAGTTACGTGTTTGGATAGAAGTGTTGAAGCTGAAAATAAGTTGTTAATGTGTTTGATAAAATAAATGCTTATTCTGTTAAACAACAACAACAACAACAACGACCCAGTATAATCCCACAGGTGGGGTCTGGGGAGGGTAATATGTACGCAGACCTCAAAAAGCAACAGGAGCCGATATATTAGTACCATAAAAATGCATAATAAAATAACAGCAATATAAGAGATATGAAACACAGAATACGAAAT